GATCCAGGTGGACACACATCTCCACATTCAGTGAATGTTGTTGACCACCGACAACGAGTAATGTCTCCGTCAGCATCGGCGACAGGAACATTAATCACTGTTTTTATGTTGACCGGTATATTTATAGGAGACATCATGGTAGCTACTGGTGCACTGTTGTACAAACCGTTGTCAGATCTCGGTTGGACGATGATATGTGCTGACATAGACCAAGTAGCAGTGGCAGCTGTTGCCAGCATGCGCCAGGCATATTGACTAAAAGCAACTGAAAAATCGTCACCTACTTTCAAATGAACTGTGTCGGAACGCTGCCCAACAGTGGTGCCGACGGGTGCTGAAATATCCGTGCAGTAAGGCCTAATGCTGGGAGCCACATAACCAGTGGAGCCGCTGCCACAACTAATTGTGCAATCCAGAGTTTGAGTTGGAATCCACGCATATGTTGCAGCAGGTATCAGTTGTTGAGATGCAATCATGGCGTTTGTACAGGTTATTATCGAGTACGTCCAAGAGTATGTTTGAGTAATAACAATGTCTATATAGGTTCCGGTAGCTGATGCATTTAATGGATGCCAGGTAATAGTACCACCAAGAAAATGAGTTCCGTTGACGACCACTATCAACTCGAACAGTAACGCGATGAGAAAGATGGACATTATTGAGAGGTAGATTTCGTCTTATGAAACATAATGAAAAAATATAATGAATAGAGTAAAGCAATGATTCGACTATATAAAACGCATACTATCTTCACTTCTATGACTTTAATAAAACAACCAGGACGACCTGATTCGTTTTTTGTGTAACAAAGTGCGCACGTAATTTACACATACTTTTTGCGCATCCTTATATATTCGATTGATTACTTAATTCTATTGTCCGATAAGAAAACTTTCAGTTTCTGTTTAAAAAGTTTCAAAACACAATGGATTGTTATATATAATTAACAAAACTATAAAAAATCTTCTATCAACAATATATCGTGCATAACGAACATTTTTTGATTAACAATTTCTGTAGTGCCAAATTTATACATAAATTATTGAAGAAAAAAAATATAAAAATGAATTTTATTACATCTGGTACAATCTACCCCTATATTCTTAATAATAATTAATATACAAATAAAACAAAGACAGACAAATATGTAAGGAATAATATATACTCTTCTGATTAGAAGATGAATCAATCCTACAATATTGCTTAAAATCAATGTCACCCCACTTGAGGGTGTGGGTATGGTATGGTTGTAGTTGTAAATGTATACTTCATCTTATATGTATACTCCATACCCACACCCACACCCTAGAAAATGGTTGATCAAAGGTTTTTGACGCCGAGCAACTCGAAGATGTGAACAAATTATAACAGTTCTGCTGTATGTCAATCTCAAAACACAATCATCATTTCAAGTTTCATAGTGCATTAATCATTCTTCTAGGTATATATTGATTTAATCCGTATCGATGACAATCAAAATATTTTTATTTTATTTTTCATATACACATGCACAGAAATGAGTATGCTTTACAATTGTAAGAGTAGAATATTAAATCAAAGATCTTATCGTACATATTAAAATAAAATCCCAAACGAAATTATGCGACATCTGTATATCAGTATAGTAAAGGAAAGTATAAATGAAACAATAAAATTCGTAATTGTGAAATAACATATGTTTTTTTTGTTTCTGATGGAGAAGATAAAAATATTTGATTTTGAATAGAATGGAAAATGAAAATGAAACATTACGTCCTTATCCTATCGATCCATCACAAGATAAAGTTATTAAAAAAATAGTTTTTGCTAAAAGAAAATTAAAGCCGCAATTAACATCATTTTTATTTACAATTTTAACATATTCATTAAAACTATTAAGTAAATATAAAAATAAAAAATTAACTGAAAAAAATAAAAGAAATTCCTCCAATATATATATCAACCTCAACTTCTACAATGGATTTAACATTTTATTATATTGTTCGTTATGGTAAAATTTGATTTAAACCAATTGCTGCACATTGTGATTCCTCATGGAAATTATTTAGTGATAATGGTTTTATTGATCAATCTCAAACTCCACTAGTATCAATAAGTGTTGATGGTGATAATATTTTAGCTGTTGATAAAAATCAAATAATTCATTGTGCTAAAAGTAATCGAATTATATGTAAAGTTTCATTTGATTGTCCGAAATGGCAAATAATTGAATCACGAGTTAAATGAACACAAAAACGGTTTAATATGGATGGTGTATCACCTGTTCTTAATTTATTTTAAAACCCAATATTAAAATCATTAAAAAATAGTCGAAATATGTGTATGTCACATAAAGAACCTGATACAATGTATTATACAGATATTAAAGGTAAAAAACATCCAGATCCATATGTTAGTGTAACAACAATTTATTATTTAAATGAAGATACCACACGAATATTTTTTGCTGATCCATGGTTACAAAATGAATTAACAACACCTGAAGGTGGACAATTTATAGCTGAATCGATGGCAACTAGTGGATCAACTTTATTTCTTATTCAACGAAGAAGAAATGAATTTGGTAAAGAAATTAATAAAATGTATACAAGATTTGCTGATTTTGATTCAATTGGATCAAATCCTGCACTTGCATCAACATACAATCCAAATAATAATGTTCCTCTTGTTCGTTATCTTCCAAGTGAAGATTGAATTAGACAACCATTTATTAATATTCAAGGTAAAGCTCGTTTAACGAAAAAGATTTCGATTTATCAAATTGGTTGGGGACAAAATAATAGACAATTAAGAGTTCAAGGAACAGATGCAAATGATAATTATGGATTTTATTTTAAAAATATTTATGATAAACAATGGAATTTTTATCTCAATCAATTTCATTTTTTGGTTTTAAAAAAGGTCCACAGATATGTATTGATTACTCAAATGGCCAATTTAATTCAAATATAAAAGATATTCATTTTGAAAATATAATTTTAGAAAAATTTTCTCATCGTGGACTTAATGAAAGAGGTTTACATACAAAATCAATATTAATATTAGATAAAAATAATCAAATATCAATTCCATTATACGCACGAAGAGGTTGGAGAAGTTTAATAGGTTTATCAAAATCAAATCTTTGGAAATTAGTTATTCCATTAGAATATTTTCAAAATGATAATTATCAAATTCAATTGATTTTAGAAAAACTTTTTCAAAACAAATTTCGACATAATGTTTATGTTTATGAAACTAAACTAGAAATTTTTATTACAAATACTTTTTCTAATCGAACAAAATTTAAATTTATTTTTAAAATTAAATCAATATAATGCGCAGAATCGAGTGGACAGGAGATTCGACACGTTGTAATTCTTACATTTATTCTTCTCTTTCTAGAGATAACATGTATAAGAATATAATTATTGTTGGAGCTACTGGAAAGTTTCTTGGAAAAAAAATAACAAGTAGTTTTCTTAAAAGACAAGATGAATTTAATGTATCAATTCTTGTTTCGAAAAAATCAATGGAGGTTAATGAAAGTTCTACTTGTTTTTTTTAATTAAGAGTTAGATTTTTAATTTAGAATGAAGAAAAAAAGAAATTTTTTGAAGATTTTCAAAAACAAGGTGCGAAACTTATTTTTGGTGAACTTGATGATCCTGTTGGACTTGAAAAAGTATTATATAATAAATTTTAAATTGAATTTTCTTTTTCTCATTTTGAATAGTCTCTTGAAGGAATCGATGTTGTTATTTGTCTTTTAACTGGTCATGATCAAGAAATACTTTTCAATGGACAAAAATCTCTTATTGAAGCATCAAAAAAAGCACATGTAAAACGATTTATTACATCAGGTTATGGAATGGATCTATCTCGAATTAAGTTCGTTTTGTATTATATGTTTTAAATTCATTTTCATTCAAATATTTTTCTTCAGAGAAAAGGAATGTTATTATTATGTACCCAAACAACGTATTGAAAGTCTTTTAGAAAATGATTCATCAATTGAACATACATTTATTGCAACTGGACTTTTTGCAGGTTCTATTTTTTTCTGGTAATTATTTCTCTTTGAAAAACTAATTTCTATAGAATTGCTTTTTATACCTCGTTTTGGTATTGATATAAAACAACGAATAATCAAATCATTTGGTTCTTCAGATATGAAAATTTCTACAACATTTTCAGATGATATTGCATTACTTTTACCTGATATTATCTTATTAGATGAAAGTAAAAATGCACGTATTAATCTTGCAAGTTTTACAACAACATTTAAAGAAATTCAACAAATAGCTGAAAATATTACTGGAGAAGTTCATTGAATTATTTTATAACGATTAAATCTACTCTTATCTTTGATTTATTTATTGAAAATTTCAATTTATTGAAGATCGATCATATGAAAATCTTACTAAAGAACAATTATATAATCAAGTTACTGAATTTGTTAAATCTGTTTATGCAAGAGGTAAATTAAATATTTCTTTTTAAATAATGAATTCTTTTCCTATTCTTTTAATAGGAGGTGGATATTTTGATAAACCATTTAATAAAATTCATCCAAAACTTTCAAAAATTCCAATAACGACACTGGAAGATTATATTAAAATAAAACTCAGTGAATAATAGTTTTTTCTTAATGAGATTTTAAATAAAGAAATTCTACATCTTATTCTCAGCAGGTGAATTTTCAAAAAGAAAATACCAATTCTATCTGCTGATACAAGAAAACATATTTCTATTTTGTGAAATATAATCTAAGAGAAAGTGTTGAAGTGCTTCGCAGAAAAATTTGGATGAACAGACGATAACCGATGCTATGAAAGACACCATCTTGAGGATAGGTGTGGGTATGGGTGTATTTTATTTATAACCATACCCATACGCACATCTCACCCTCAATCTATTTTCGAATCTTTTTCAAGAAAGTGTTCATGAGTACATTGCATCAAATTTTATCTCCTTATATAAGCAGTTTTACATAATCTTTTTTTATGAAATGGTTTCATATTTTATAGATGCCGTATTATTTGTACATATATTTGTTAGTGATAAATGACATATAATGAAAAGCAATCGTGAAATATGATCAAACTAGCAAACCAATCAGTTGATGGTTAAACGTTAGTACTTCTCATAAGTTTATATCACTAATGAGCCTGCAAAGGGTAGACGTGACTGTGAGTGTAGATACAGATATGATTCTTCATACCCACATCCAATCACATCCTTATTAATGCACTCAGATTACTCTTTTCATCAAAAGATAGACTCAGTTTGTTGCCTACTGATTAAAGAAAAAACCGTACAAGAAGCTGAAGGTATAAGCATTAATGAGTTTCAGAGAAAGATTGATAATGGAAAAGTTTTATGAAAAGTTTTGGCATCGAACGAACATTGTTATTTGCTCCATATTGTCAACTGGTTAATCGTAGGATAATGTTCTTGGTAGAGTACCGAAATGTCAATAAGCATGTTGCGTATGATGAAGTAATAAATTTTAAGACTGAAGGAGAACACTGACGGTGCCTCCGTTATAGCTTGTAGTAATAATATCGGGCTTATTGTCACTATTCACATCGGCCACTGCTACTGATCGTGGAAGTGCGCCAACTTTGTAAGTAGTTTGAGATGAAAAAGTGCCGTTGCCTATGTTGAGAAGAACACTGATGCTATATGAATTCCAATTTGCAACAATAATGTCAGGTCTATTATCGTTGTTCGCATCAGCTACTGCTACAGATATTGGACTTTGACCAACTGAGTAAGTAGTTTGAGCAGAAAAAGTGCCGTTGCCTGTATTGAGAAGAACATTGGTGGTGTCTGAACCTTCATTTGCAGTGACAATATCCGGTTTATTGTCGCTGTTCACATCGGCTACTGCTACTGAC